GATGTAAGGTTTTGTTTTATTAAAATATTTGCCAAAAGTATTTACATTGTAACTAAAATAGAGCTAACATACCAACTTCCTTTTTTTTTTTTTTTAAAGAAAACCCAAACTGTACCTCCCTCTATTCCTCCAAAACCTACCTTCCTCTGCCAGGTCTTTGTTGAGGACCAGTTTGCCATGCCTCAGGTAGTTCAGCACAGGGCCAAAGTAGGTGGGGTCTCGGTCAATTAAATAGGCACCAGTTTCATCCTGAGGACAGAAGGGAACAATGAGAGAGAAAAGGTCACCCTCAGACAACTGTTCTGCTGTGAAAACGATATGGCCCTCCAGGAGGGTACAATCCTAATAGCAGGGTGTGTCAGACTTGTTATTCTATCTCAGGTTTTTTCCTGAAGCACGCAGACAATTTCAGTTTTCCCAGCACACAATAGAACAGAGGAGTGGCACCACTGTACCCGTCATTTAGGGCCATTATATTCGATTTTAAAGCTACAATTAAATATCTGCCAGGCTGTGCAAAAATAGCCCGAATGCCTGAAGGAGCACATTTTACCTGGCTGTCATAACTGTAAGAGCTGCGTGAGTGGGGAGAAAAAAAAACACCTCACAGAAAAAAAAACTCCGGTAAACTCTGATACACATCCCCTTCAAGACCAACTTAATTCAAAATGCACTACTGCTCAGAATCCCTTACGTTCTTCATCATTGAGATAAAATATTTAACTTAGCTAAAATCTAATACAAATGTATTTTAACTGCATTACAATGCTGTTTCAGCTTTAAAAAAAGAAGATACTAAAGCGTTTCCTTTGTGGTAGACCATAATTCTTTGCTAGTTTTTGTTACATCACCCACCCCAATAGCAAGTCATCTTGGATAGAGGCATGAGCAGAGCCTTGTGCCAGAAAAATGCTAGATATTTTATTGCACTTAAAGGGCATCTGCAATGCTATTTTCTTATTTGGAGGCTAGAAAGAATCAGCACTGACAAGTGCGTTTCAAACCGCAATATCAGTAAAATGTACACAACTTGTAATACATCACAGGTATGCGCAGCGCCATGTTCTGGGATTCAGAACAATGCAACAAAACCTCCAGTGACATGTGCGACCATGCGATATTGTAAACAAGCAGGCTTGTGAATACATGTCTTTTAATCCAATAGAAATACTGCTCTCGACTTTGAGATGCTGAGCTTCAGTGGGCTGAGCTTCAGTGGGCTGCCAGGTGTGAGGTGCAGGGTGATATGGCTGCTGGCTGGAACATTTCTGCAGTAAAATGTCTGCTGCGTAGTGCAGTATTTATACTCTCATACACCCCATTACACAATTTATTATAGAGACTAGTGAGCAGGAAGGGCCGCATCCATGGCAATTTGTGGGAACTCGAATGCGAATTGCGTCAACATGGTGACTTACAATACTTTCACAAAGTTCACAACTTTGTTTTGAATTTGAAATTTGTCTTTTTTTTTCCTACATCAATGACTGTATTTTGTTACCGAGATTTAATAACTGGTCTGAAAAACTGGGACTGCAGTTCCCCCTTTAAAGGCTGGTGATTTGAACATATGAACAACCACTTGAGCCGTGCTTTGTCTGGAACAGAGTACAATGGAGAAGCAAGCAAAGAATCCATAGTGATGTGACATATATGATGATATAAACTCCAGCCCAAAAACTGTCAAAGTGTACAATTCAGAAAACAATTTATCGCTTCTCATGATACTGACTGTAGAATCGTGTGCTAATGTAATAATTATTTTTTAAAATAATTAATTATGAATAATAAAAATCAATGTCAACATATGTAGTAGAGCTCTGGCAGAATCACAAACTAGTGATCCATTTATAACTGAAAAGCAGCTAGATGTTCTTCAGACGATCACGCTCCTTATCGTACCCGTATGTGGTATCAAACAAATAAGATGGACATGATTTAATGAGCATAGGTTGAAAGTAGCCCAAAGATCCCCATCAACCACAGTGAACAGCTGACAACTTCATCACAGATGGCTGCACAGCTCTTACAACAGAGAAAGGTGTGGGCAAGCCGCTCCATGACCCCAGACTGCAGCGGCGCCCAATCGGCTGGGCAGCCCCAGTCCTGGGCATCAATGGGAAGGTGGTTACACTTGGCAGGGTGGTGCCCTTTAAAGCCGGATGTCTGCTCTGAGCTGAAGGAGGAGTTGGAAAGAATGGTTTTGAAAAACTGCAAGGCATGTGTAAAAGATGAATAAAAGATACTTCAAACTGGAAAAAAAAATGGTTTTGTTCCCCCTTTGCAGTTTTGGTAGAACAAAAATATTAGACCAAACATCTTTAAAATATTAGGAATCCCTGCCGGACAACATGTTGGGTCCTCAAGGTGCATTTCACCAGCTTTTGGAATTGTGTTAAGCTCAAGCCCTTCCTAGCTCCCAGCAGGATCTCCTTCAGTTGGGGCAGTAATGTGGGAAGCATGTGGGATTGAAATCCAAGGATTGGTGAGGCCATGGAAGCCATTGAACATGTGAGTCCTCGCTCACAATCAACATTACCTGTCCCAGAGGGATCCCATATTCGTTAGACTGAGGGGATCCTAATTCCTATGTGTGTATATACACAATACCAGTCAAAAGTTTAAGTACACCTGCTTAATATCTAGGTTTCATGATTATCTGCGCTTTAAACTGTATAAACATGTCTATAAACACTTAATATTTAATAGTTCAGGGGGGTATGCGTCAGTATGCCTAGGCTGCAAAGGAACAAGTAATAGGTTTATTCCATGCTGAAAAAAAGGAGAAAGAAAACACAACGTTTTCAGCATGGAATAAACCTATTACTTGTTCCTTAATATTTAATTACATTATGTGTACTTATAATCTTAGTGAACTGCATTGAAAATGTACATTTTTTATTTTCAATAAAACAAACAACCAACGCAACTAGATTTCAAGTTGGTTAGTTAGTTGAAAGTCAGAAATGTGTATAACATGGTGTTAGAACACTAAACAAAGTTTAAAATGGTCTTTGTTAGATGTTCTCACAGTTAACTAGCATGTTACCTCATTTACCTTTTGTCAAAAATGATTGGTAAACATGTGAGGGTCCACAATTACTAAATATAGGGAGCATGGGCAAAAGCTTGTAATTCCTGAATGAACATGGCAACATTTGCTCAGTTAAGAAAGGAAAAAAGACCATCTATAATTACTTTAAGAAATGAAGGTCAATCCTTGATATGATATGTAGAAACTGGCACTAATGAGGACCAAAAAAGTTCAGGCAGGCCAAAGGTGACCTCAGAATCAGAGAATACGTTAATTAAAATCATAAGTCTGCGAACCGGCGACTAACTGCCCCTGAAATACAAGCTGAGCTCAATGCAACTAGAAGTACAGATGTTTCAACATCAACTGTTCAGAGGTAGCGACAAGCCCTGTGTATGGGGACATGATAATTCCGGAAGAGTCCCCTTCCATCAGGATAGAAATGCATCACCATAGGATGATCATGATCACTCAGAATGGCTTTGAATTTTTTGGCATTAACGTTGCCCTCTAAGTGGTTGAATGGACCTAAACCATGCCAGGAAAATGCACCCAATGCCACAGCAGAGCTGCTAGAACCCTTCACTGTGGGACTCACGCCAAAAGAGGCCTACAGGCTCGACTGCTTGTGTCACACATATACTCATCCGCTTGTTGGGAAAAAAAGGTGAAGGATGACACATCTGTCCATAAAACTTTTTCCAATGCTCAGTAGACCACTACCTGTGTTCTTTACATCACTTGTAAAACTGCATTTTTGGTGTAATAAGAAGTTTATGTACTGCATGCTGACCATCGTATCCCTCTCTGTGAAGTTCTCAATAGACTGAACTTGATGAAACTGCTGCTTACGCCATTGACCTTTGCAGTCAACCGACTGCTCGTCTGCTTGCCTTCCATCACGAACAATGCATGGTTTAGGAGTATGCAATTTCATCCACAGCTTCCCCAGTTGACGATGTCTTTCCCTCAGACTTCCAAGTCAGCATTTATCTCATGAAACAATATTTGTCACTGAAGCTCCTGCCAAACGTGGCCCAGCAAATCACCCTCTCTCAAGAAGTCATCAAGATGTCCTCTTCTAGCCGTGGTAGCCAGAATAATGGGCAACTGGGTCTGCCAAGCATTTTATATATTACCCTCAGCATGATGGGATGTTAATTGCTTAATTACCTCAGGACCACACCAGTGTGGAAGCACCTGCTTTCAATATACTTTGTGTAACTCATTTACTCAAGCGTTTCCTTTATTCCTCAATTGCTTAAATTCTAAATAATGAGGAAAAAGCTCCATAGCAAGTCACTCAAGAATTTATTCACTGGAGGTTTAAGTCTTTATGCTTCCTCTTCGGCCATGTATCTCCTACACTGGCAAGAAATGCAGTACTCCTCTAACTGAAGCCAACTCACATGGGCCGCATGGGGCGAACAGCACACATGGCAAATGGCTTTGATAAGCACATGTTGTGCTCCGAGTCCTCAATCTCACTCCGTGCCCAGGCGCATGCTGCTAGCAGTGATCCAAGCCAATTGACATGTAATGATCCCAAATTAGAAGGGGGAAAAAAAAAATCAAAAGAAAAATGAATGACAATTCAAACCTGGAAATATGCCAAACTGCTCTACAGCATTCAAAAGATGCAGACGCAGACTGACTTCCCATCAGATGAACTGGATTTTAATGCGAGATGCAGTATATATACCCTTTTTCATCTAGCAAAAGAGTTAACCCAGCTGTGGTAAACCCAATCTAGTTTACGAGCTGTCAAAAAGTTTTTAAAAAAGCACTACGGAAGGAGCCCCAAATCTCCCTTTCTTTCTTTGTTTTGAGCGTTGTTTCAGAGTTCAGATTCAAAACTGCTACAACACCAGCCCAGACCGTACGTCGAGGTATGGCGACAGCTCTCCACACACAATGAAGTGGTAGTTTCTGACTAACCGAAAACAGCGTGGGTGGCTGAAAGCACAAGCCAGCGAGGTGAATGGAAGGTTTTTCGGCAGAGCAAAGGCAGCTGTGTGATCCGTCACCGAGTACACCGATATAGCTGGGTTCAAGGCTGGGTGTTCTCATTGACGTTGCAGCAGCCCTTACAAAACCCTACTAGCAAGTCAAATCAGTTAGAGTGGAAAAGCTATTTCCATCGTGAAAGGCAGCTGTTGTTCTATTGCACATCAGCAACCTGTGCATTTGCATACATTCCAAATGGCAACATTGC